ACAATAAAAGATGAATAATACAACTTAAAATGGGCAGAGGGTTGAACAGATATTTTTTCCAAGGATGTACAAAATAGCCAATTAACACATGAAAGGATGCTCAACATCATTTGTCATTAAGGAAATGCAAATCAAAAGCTCAATGACATACCACTTTACAAGCAGTAGGATGGCTATACCAAAAGAGACAATACAAAGTGCTGTCTCCAAGAATGGGGAGAAATCGTAACTTTCACACAGTCATACACTGCATTACTTTCAGTCAACAACAGACCACATACATGAAGGTGGTCCCATGAGATTATAATGGGAATTGAAAAATTCCTATTGCCTAGTGATGTCTTAGCAGTAATAACATCAAAGCACAACACATTATTCTTGTGTTGATTGTGATGCTAATGGCAACAAACCTATTGCACTTCCACTGGTATAAAAATATAGCACACAGAATTATGTATGGTATAGAATATTTGATAATAAATGACTGTGTTACTGTTTTATGTACTTACTATACTATACTTTTATTGCTTTATTGTATGGTGTACTTTCTACTCATTAAAAAAGTTTGCTGTAGCCCTGGCCAGGTGAGTCAGTTGGTTGGAGGGTTATCCCATACACCAAAAGGTTGCACGTTTGATTCCCCATCAGGGTACATACCTAGGTTTTAGGTTCAATCCCATCAGGGGGCATACAGGAGGCAACAATCAGTGTTTCTCTCCCTGCCTCCACCACTCTAAAATCAATAAACATATCCTCATGTGAGGATTTTTTTAAAGTTTTCTGTAAAAGAGTGTGTCATATTACTCTGGCAGCAGCCTCATACATCTTGTTTACCACACCTTTTGATTATATCATTTTCACTATAGTGGATATAATCTGTGTTTTTATAAAGTAACACACTGTACAGGCTTGTAGCATAGGAGGAAAGTGCCACACCATACAGCCTGGGTATGTGGTAGGCTATAACATCTAGGTTTAGTGTAAGTGCACTCTATAATGTCCACATGATAAAATCACCTAACAATGTATTTCTCAAAACTTATCCCTGTTAAGTGGGGTATGATTGTATCACTTGTAGAAATGTAAAATTGTATACAGCTACTTCGGAAAATATTTTGTCAGTTCCTCAAAAAGTTAAACATTAAAGTTATCACATGACCCAGCAATTCCAGTCCTCGTGTATATCTAAGAGAATTCAAAATACACAACCATATAATAAATTATACCTGAATGTTCATAGCAGCCCCAAAGTGGAAACAACTCAAATGTCTATCAGTTGACAAATGAACAAACAAAATGTAGTGTATCCATACAATCAATGGAATATTCAGCCTTGGAAGAAAATTCCTATTGACTGAGTATATGCCTCCCCCTCAAAAACTGTATCTTGAAGCCCTAGACCCCAATGTGATGATATTTGAAGGTGGGGTTTGGAAGGTAACTAGGTTTATATAATTCATGAGGGTAGAGCCCCATGGTGAGACTGGTGACTTTATAAGGGGATAAAAAATAACTAAATTAAAAAAAAAGAAATCACAGCTCTCCCCTCAACCCCCACTATGAAGATACAGCAAAAGACAGCCATCTGCAAACCAGAAGAGGGCCCTCACTAGAACCTGACCATGCTGGCATTCTCATCTCAGACTTCCAGCCTCCAGTACTGTAGAAATGAATGTTTGTTGTTTAAGCCACCCAGACTATGGTATTTGTTATAGTAACTTGAGCTAAGACAGGAATGGACTACTGTTACATGCTACCACAGGGATGAACCTTGGAAACACACAGTAAATTAATTCAAAAACAAAAGGCTACATATGAGTCCATTTATATGAAATGTCCAGAAAGGAAAATCCATAGATAAAACAGATCAGTGATTGCTAGGTAATCGGTGTGGGGATATTGAGACTGTCTCTTAACAGGCATGAATTTCTTTTTGAGGTGATGGAAATGTCCTGGAATTAGTAGTGATAGATGCACAGCATTATGAATTTATTAAAAATTGCTGAATAGCGCACTATAAAATTATTTAAATGTTGAATTTTATCTCAGTGTTTTAAATTTTAAAAAATATAATTTTATCCCAATATTTACACATAAAAGGGAAACCTTTGAATGTATAACATAAAAATATAGATAATAAACTATTTATGATTGTGTTTAACATAAAATGAATTATTTATTTCCTCTTTAAACCTCTTAAATTTCAGTGTAACATTGTTTATAATAAGAAAAAACTTAAACCAATCTAAATAAATATTATTAGAGAACTTATGATATGGCTATCAGAATAAATGAGATATATTACTTGAAAGAAGCACAGGGCCAAACAGTGGCTGAAGTATGACTTAGTGCTATGCAAACGTACTTATATCTGCAAGAATGCTAATCACAGCAGTGGGGCCTGGAAAATCTTAGTTTTCATTTTATTTCATTCTAGATTATTTTAACTGAAAATTGTTTAAAATAAAGTAATATTTAGTTTCTTTTTGGAATATAACTTTAAGTATTGTGATGGCTCTCAAAGACATCAAGCATTCACATATTTGTTGACTATAACATTTGCTAAATACAGGAAAGCTTCTCTTTTTTCCTTTTTTTTTATTGAATATGCCATTACAGTTGTTCTATTCCCCCCTCCGTTACCCTCCACCCTGCACACCCCTCCCCCACCATTTCCCCACCTTTAGTTCATGAACATGTGTCTCAAGTTCTTTAGCTTCTGTATTTCCCCTACTATTCTTACCCTCCCCCCTATCTATTTTCTATCTACTGTCTATGCTACTTATTTTTGTACCTTCTCCCCTCTTCTCCTTCTCCCACTCCCGTTGCTAATCCTCCATGTGATCTTCATTTGTATGGTTCACACCTGATCTAGCTGTTCTCTTAATTTGCTTTTGTTTTAGGTGTGGTTGTTGATAACTGTGAGTCTGCTGTCCTTTCACTTCATCTTTTTTATCTTCTTTTTCTTAGGTAAGTCCCTTTAACATTTCATATAATAAGGGCTTGGTGATGATGAACTCCTTGAATTTGGTCTTATCTGAGAAGCACTTTATCTGTCCTTCCATTCTAAATGAAAGTTTTGCTGGATAGAGCAATCTTGGTTGTAGGTCTTTAGATTTCATGACTTGGAATACCTCTTTCCAGCCCCTTCTTGCCTGTAAGGTCTCTCTTGAGAAATCCACTGACAGTCTGATGGGAACTCCTTTGTAGGTGACTGTCCCGTTAGCTCTTGCTACTTCTAGGATTCTCTCATTTTAATCTTGGCTAATGTGATGATGACGTGCCTTGGTGTGTTCCTTCTTGGGTCCTACTTCTTTGGGACTCTCTGAGCTTCCTGGATTTCCTGGAAGTCTATTTCCTTTGCCAGAACGGGGAAGTTCTCTTTTATTATTTGTTAAAATAAGGTTTCCACTCATGACTGTTCTTCTTCCCCTTCTGGTACCCCTATAATTCAAATGTTGGAAAGTTTAAAGATGTCCTGGAGGTTCCTAAGCCTCCCCTCATTTTTTTTGAATTCTTGTTTCTTCATTCTTTTCTGTTTGGTCATTTTTTTTTCCTTCCTTCTGGTCTACTCCCTTGATTTGAGTCCCAATTTCCTTTCCATTACTATTGGTTTCCTGTGCATTACCATTCATTTCAATTAGTTTAGCCTTCATATGTTCCTCTAACTTGTGACTAAAATCAACCAGTTCTGTGAGCATCCTGATCACCAGTGTTTTGAACTGTGCATCTGAAAGTTTGGCTGTTTCTTCATCACTTAGATTTATCGGCTCTGGGGCTCTGAGTTGTTCTTGAGCCATGCTTTGATCTGTTTGTGCCTGTTACGTATGAGGAGTGGAGCCTTAGTTGTTTACCAGGGCGGGGCCACCCAGGTTGCTGATTTGTGTTGCTGTATGTGGGGGCAGGGTCAGAGAGGGAGCAATGGCGGTCCTCTCCCCTCTCCCAGTCCATCCCACTGCTAGCTCCCGCCTATTTATCCCCGCGGCCCTGCACCAGGACCTGTGCGGTCTGTCTCAATGCTCATCTCTTGACTGGTTTATCTGCACGCAAATGCTCGACCGACTGCAGACAGCCAGCCACGCCTCTTCCCTGTGTCCACCCGTAGCTAGCCTGCACCTGGGATCCGCACCTTCGGCTGCTTGCGCACCACCCCAGTAGGGGATCTTTTTGGCCAACCTGCTCCTCTGCTGGCTTTGCCCCTCTTACCGGTTTAGCCGAGCATTTCATTGTTTTCGGACTCTGTATTGTCGATTTTCTGTATGGTTTGGTTGCATTTATTGTTGTTAAAACTTTGTTGTTTTTAGATTTGGTTGTACGCGGACACAAGGTGTTTCCACCTACGCCTCCATCTTGGCGGAAGTCCCAGGAAAGCTTCTTTAAATGTTACTTTTACAATCAGAAAATGGATGTTGCAATAACACAATCTATGTTTTCTGATAGATTGCATTCATTATCAGGCAGCATTTCCACACAATTTGCCATAAAGCCATTTTATGTGATATGCATATCACAAGAAGAAAAAACACTATCAGCAGAAAAACACCTCTACACACAAAGAGAATACAAAATGAGAAATGATATTTCTGATATCAGAACTCAAATTTATGTATTTATAGTAGTGGTTTGTGATGTTAAAGTGACCCTGACATAAGGATACTGTGCCTATAAGGACATGAAAAGCTATTTATCATAATGTAGAAAGAGTAAATTTCCTTAGATTCATGCATACATAGGAAGGTACTGATGATACATAATAATTGGAACATTTTACAAGCATTAAGTTACTTGAAAATCTACAAAAGAATATTAGCATCAGAAGCCTAAAGGATACATTAGCAGAAATAAAGGCTACATACTTCATCTAATTCTTAATGTCAGAGTATCTGTAGGAATGGATAAATACTAGAGAATTTTGCTTTGAGACAGAGATAAAAATACCAAAATAGAAATCCACGCTACTTAGGAAGTAACGATGGCAATATAAGGAAAACAAAATCTACCTGCCATTCAAACTCGCTGTCCGACCAATCCCAGTATGTGCTAATAGAGGAAGAGACATCACTGCACACACTCCCCTCAGGGAATAAATCAAAAGAAGTGAAGTCTTGATCATCTAATAAGGAATAGCAATCATCTTGATCTCCAACAGAAACTGATGAAAACAGCTCCTCACTGCATTCTGAGCTGGCAACACTTGTTCCACAAGAAGTTAAGTTCCACCTTAAAAACAGAACACAAAAGAAATCACAACAGGAATTACAGAATTCACCCAATTGAAAGATACTAATAACATATTTATAACATTTATGAAGAATGGCAGTATATTTTAGGTAAGATAATGATATTGTGATTATAACTTATATTTTAAAGATTTTATTTATTTTTAGAGAAAGGAGAAGGTAAAGGAGACAAGAAGGGAGAGAAACATTGATTTGAGAGAGACACATCAATGGATCACTTACCTATTGCACACCCCCCACTGAGAACCTAGCCCGCAAACCAGGCATGTGCTATGACCAGGAATCAAACTGAGGGCCTATTGTTTTGCAGGGTGATGACCAACCCCACTGAGCCATGCTGGGAGCCCTTATCTTGTACAACTACATATTATTGTAAAATATTTATGAATGAAATATGTCTGGGATTTGTCTCAACATAAGGTTGATAAATCAGTATGAATATCAAGAAAGCACACTGCCATATGTGAATAACTGCTGAACCTGGGCAATGGGTATATCTGGTTAATTATACTATTCTCCCTACTCTGTCTGAGAAAATTTGGTATATAGTATGTTAAAAAAAAGTATTTAAATGAAGGATAAAGTAAAACCTTTATCTACAAACGAAACATATACAAGGTCTATCCAGAAAAGTCCAGCCATTACTAATATAACAAGAACGGTTTGTGCGATATGACATAACCTGGCATCCAAGGAGAGTGGACTAGAGTGCACATGTGTGAACAATGACGACTTCACTGTACTAGTCAGTGGGGGCTGTAGACACCATTGAGTGAGCATGTGCACTGTGTGGCTGTTGCATTCAAAATGACTGAGTGAGTAAAGCAGTGAATCTGCATCAGATTTTGCCTTAAGCTTGAACATTCCACCACAAAAACTATTTGGATAATTCAGAAGGCCACAGCTATGGGCAACTGGTGATTGGCAGCTTCATCAAGACAATGCACCCATTCATGCATCACATTTCATGCAGAGTTTTTTTGCGAAACATCAAATCACCCAGATGACTCAGCCCCCCTGCAGCCCAGATTGGGCACCCTGCAACTTCTGGCTTTTCCCAAAACTAAAGTCACCTTTCAAAAAGAAGAGATTTTAGACTGTCAATGAGATTCAGGAAAACAGGACAGGGCAGGTGATGGTGATTGGGAGAACTGTGTGAGGCCTCAAGGTGCCTACTTTGAAGGGAACTGAGCCATCATTGCCATATGTAAAATGTTTCTTGTATCTTGTACCTTCTTCAATAATAGTGTCTCTATTTTTCATGGTATATGGCTAGATATCCAAAGCAGCATATGAGTGCTCATTTCACCACAAACTTAACAGATCCAGTGCTTCCCATACTCACCTCAACTGGGAATCAAACCCGGAAACTAAGTAGGCATGTGCCTTAATCAGAAATTGAACCCACAAACTTCTGGTGTACAGAATGATGCTCCAACTAATTGAGCCACCTAGTCAAGGGTGGAATTTTCTTTTTCTCTTTTTTAAAAAATACTTTATTTTTTGACATCCCAAAGCAAGTAGAAGGAAGGAAATAACCAAGATCAGAGCATTAAACAGCATGAAGACCAAAGATCAATAAACCCAGAAGCTGGTTCTTTGAAAAGATAAACAAAACTGACAAGCCTTTAAGTAGACTCATCAAGAAAAAAAGCTACTGGACCAAAATAAACACAATGAGAAATGAAAGAGGAGAAATTACAACTGACATCACAAAAATACAAAGGATTGTAAGAAATTACTACAGAGAACTGTATGCCAAGAAATTTGAAAACCTAGGTGAAATGGACAAATTTCTAAAAAATATAATCTTCCAAAACTGAAAGAAGCAGCACAAAGCCTGAAGAGACCAATAACAGCTGATGACATCAAAGCAGTAATGAAAAACTCCCAGGACACAAAAGCCCTGGACTGGACAGTTTCACAGGAGAATTTTACAAAATATTTAAGGAAAAGCTAACCCCTATCCTTCACAGACTTTTCAAAAAATCCAAGAAGAGGGATGACACCCAAACTCTTTTTATGAAGCCAGCATCATCCTAATCCCAAAACAAGGTAAAGACACACAAAAAAGAAAGAAAACTATAGGCCAGTATCGCTAATGAACATAGACACTAAAATCCTCAACAAAATATCGACAAACCGCATTCAGCAATACATTAAACAGATCATACACCATGATCAAGTGCAATTCATCCCAGGGATGAAAAGATAGTAAAATATTCACAAATAAATAAACGTAATATATCACATAAACAAAAGGAAACACAAAACTCACATGATCATATCAACAGATGCAGAAAAAGCATTTGAGAAGGTACAACACCCATTTATGATAAAAGTATTCAGGAAAGTGGGAGTAGAGGGAGCATTCCTCAATATAACAAAGGCTATATATGAGAGACCTACAGCCAACATCATACTCAATGGGCAAAAACTAAAACTTTTCCTTCTAAGATCAGGAACAAAACAAGGATGTCTGTTTTCACCACTTCTATTCAACAAAGTATTGGAAGTCCTAGCTACAGAAACCAGACCCCCAAAAAAAGAAATAAAAGGCATTTAATTTGGAAAGGAGGAAGTAAAAGTGTCATTGTTTGCAGATGCCATGATAGTATACATAGAAAACCCTATAGACTCCACCAAAAAACCACTTGATCTAGTAAGTGAATCTGGCAAAACAGTGGGATCCAAAGTCAATATTCAGAAATCGAAAGCTTTTTTTTACAGCAAGAATGAAATATCAGAAACAGAAATCAGGGGGAAAATCACACTTGCTACAGCAACAAGAAAAATAAAATACCTTGGAATAAACCTAACCAAGGAGATGAAAGACCTATACTCAGAAAATTAAGACCAATGAAGAAAGAAATTAAGGAAGACACAAATAAATGGAAGCATATATGATGCTCAGAGATTGGAAGATTTAACATCATTAAAATGTCTCTAATACCCAAGCAATTTACAGATTCAACACAATCCCTATGAAAATACCAATGACATATTTCACAGATACAGAACAAACACTTTTCCATAAAAAGAAATTATACAGAAACATAAACAACCCTGAATAGCTGCAGCAATTTTGAGGAAGAAGAACAAAGTAGTTGGAATCACCATTCCTGACATCAAACTATATTACAAGGCCATAGTAATCAAAACAGTCTGGTTCTGACATAAGAACAGGTGCATAGATCAGTGGAACAAAATAGAGATCCCAGAAATAAACCCAAGTCCCTATGGTCAATTAATATTCAACAAAGTGTGCAGAATCAAAATATCGTTTGGAGATGGTAGACATCTACAAGCAAGAAAATAAAACTCGAGCTCCAACTTACACCATACATAAAAATAAACTAGAGATGAATAAAAGACTTAAATGTAAGTCATGGTACCATAAAAGTCCTAGAGGAGATATAGGCAGGAAAATCTCAGATATTCCACACAGCAATATTTTCACCAGTATGTCCCTTATACCAAGGGACATAAAGGAAAGAATAAACAAATGGGACTTCATGAAAATAGCTTTGGCACAGCTAAAGAAAACATTAGCAAAATGAAAAGTGAACAATTCTATGGGGAAATATATTTGCCAATGATACCTTGGACAAGGGTTTGAGATCCAAAATATATAAAGTAATCATACAATTCCACTCCAGGAAGACAAACAAAACAACTAAAAAATGGACCAAGGACCTGAACAGACACTTCTCCAAGGAGGGCATACAGAGGGCCCAGAGACATATGAAAGGATGCTCAGCATCACTAGTCATCAGAGAGATGCAAGTTAAAACCACAGTGAGATATCATTTCACACGTGTCACAATGGCCATAATAAACAAATCAACAAACAATAAGTGCTGGTGGGGTTGTGCAGAAAAGAGAACACTAGTCACTGTTGGTGGGAATGCAGAATGGTGCAGTCACTGTGGAAAACAGTATGGAATTTCCTCAAAATGCTAAAAATGGTACTGCCTTTTGACCCAGCAATTCCACTGCTGGGTTTGTACCCTAAGAATCCTGAAACACTAATTCAAAAGAATCTATGCACCCCAATGTTCATAGCAACACAATTTACAATAGCCAAGTGCTGGAAGCAGCCTAGGTGCCCATCAGTAAATGAATGGATCCCAAAACTATGGTATATTTACACAATGGAATACTATGCAACAGAAAGAAAGAAGGAGCTTCTACCCTTTGCAACAACATGGATAGAACTGGAAAGCATTATGCTAAGTGAAATAAGCCAGGCAGTGAAAGGCAAACACCATATGATCTCACCTAATTAACCAAATAAACTGGCAAGCAAAATATAGCCAGAGACATTGAAATTGACAAATAAATGAATAGTAACCAGAGGGGAGGGGAGAGAGAAATAATGTGGGAAAGAAGGGAAAGGGACATAAATAAACACATATGAGGAACCGACCCATGGATGGAGCCAAGGGGGGTGGGATTGAGGTTAGGAGGTGGGCATGGGTAGGACATGGGAAAGTGGTGGTGGGAAAATGGAGACAACTGTATTTGAACACCAATAAAAAAAGTAAAAAAAAAAGATTTTATTTCTTTATTTTTAGAGAATGCAGAATGGAAGGAGAAAGAAAGGAAGAGAAACATTAATGTGTGGTTCCCTCTCACATGCCCCCTACTGGGAACCTGGCCTGCAACCCAGGCATTTGCCCTGACTGGGAATCAAACTGGCAACCCTCTGGTTCACAGTACAGCATTCAATCCATTGAGCCACACCACCCAAGGCTGGAATTTTCGTTTTTAAAATTTTTGCTTGAGGGTGGGAGAAAAACATTTTTCTATTAATTTTTTATTACTGACAGGATCAAAATTTAAAATATTTATTAGCTGTTTTGCTACAGCATTTTTCTCTGTGTTAATGTTTTCTTATTGATTTTGTAAAGACTTCTTTATGCATTAAGGATATTAACCTTCCATCTGTAATATTTGTAACAGGATTATAATTTTTTT